TTTTCAAAGTGCTTAGGGTTGATAGCGCTATACGTTTTGGCTCAAGAATTCACCATCTGGGAAACAGGTTATGCATTGGAACGTCCCTAAAGGACAGAACGTATGTGTGAGCTCTCCTAGTACCTAAACACTAACGCGTGCTTCACAATTAGTTCGAAATTGGCCTGCTGTTTCTACAGGTTAGATCCAAGCCCATTCGTATTTCAGGTGTTACTTAGGTAAGCATAGGCTACGTATGACTAAAGACTTAACTTCTCTTCTTATGGAATTCTATTTCAGATCAATTCATACTTTAAAATGACTGAGGTTTTGCTAAATCAATGACTCTATTTCCAAATTTGATAACTTGCAATAAAACTTTGATATATTTCCAGAATCTTCAGAAACACTTGGGTTATCTTCACAGGAAATAAATTAAAAACCATACTTTAAGGACCAGTATTTATTTATTTAGTACTTATTTTATAATGTTAGATTCCCACTATTTGATTATTTTTATGCTAAGTTCTCTGGCAAACAGAATACAGATTTAATGGAACATATGAAAGGTTATATCGACACAGCAATGTATTAGAACATTAAAAACTTAGTTACACCCCTCAGTGACTGCTTTTATAACCACTATAATTCTTGGGAGAAAACCAAAATGGGAGAGAACCAAAAATATTAACAACAAAGCAGAAGCTTAAAACAGGAAGAAAAAAACAATAATGCCCATGTCTGTTGGTGTAAGTTGTAAGAAAATATATTTATTTTTTTCCATGACAATACTATGATAAAATACATGCATGTTTTTAAAAACAGACATAAGTAACATCTTTAGGAGTTAAGAGCCAAGCATACTAGTTTTACATTTAAGGTATCTTAATAATAGGCTACTTATATTCTATGTTCTTGCTATAACCATGTTTCCCAAAAGATATGGCAACTAAATTCTGAAATTATACAATGAATGATACAACATGGCCAAATTTTCTATTCTAACGGCAACATCATCTCCAAAGTTTTACAAGGCAGAAAATACTTCAGTTGTCATCTCTGTAAGTGGAGTTGTTTTATTCCATATTAAACTCAGAATTCTGTGAATCAGACTGAATCACACATATACTACGACCTATAGTTTGCTTCCTGTATATGTATAGTATTTAAATGTTTCTTTATATGATTAAGATACAGAACATCACAACTGATCAGGTTAAAAAAAAGTCTGTAGTGGTAACATTTCAAGAAATGAAAAAGGGAACAGTTTTAGATCTGCAGTTTCTCCCTATCTTTCAGCTACATTTGCACACATCTGATCAAACAAAAATTAGTAAACAGTTGCTAGTATTATTTTTTAAAAAAACTGAAAATATTTAACATACAACATCCCCTTAAAAAAAAAACACTCATTCCACAAACAACCTTATAAAAGATAAAAACTTATATCTGTTCACAGTATGTGTATTTTGTAAACAGTAATTCACTATAATGCAATTTTGAAAGTAAAAAATGGTAATTTCCTAGCATAAGAATTTATGGCCAGCTAATGAAAGAAAATAAAAAGTAACACATTCCCACTAAAAAAGTTGAGTATTTTAAAATGATTTGACCTTTGGACACACCTTTTAAGGTGGTACCATCTCAATTTTAGAATATCTTTCTATCCAGGCCAATCTTTTTCAAGCAGTTCTGAACTGAAATATTTTTAAGAAAAAGCTATGCTCTTTTGGGGGGAAAAATAATAGAATAAAACAAATCCCAGGGTATCATATAATACCTACCTTTCCACAACAATGGACTGAATAAGGTTTCTTTTTGTGTGTTGTTTTCAACTTATTCATACTGTGTTCAAATTTTTTTAAACATTATGTTGGATGAAAAAAAATTAAATAGGATGTATCATAAATAGTGGGGAAAAGTATTTGGAATCAAACTGGAGGCAGAATATTTGAAAAAAAAATCACGAAAATCATTATTCAGTATTGTTTTCTATGATCAATTGCAAAATTACTGTTAAACCTAACAGTTCATTTCTCCATGTTTTAATGAAAATTTTATTGCCACCTAGAAATCTTTTGATCTTTTATAATACACCACTGGAATGCTTAGGAAAAATAGTAAGTTCAAAAACTGAAAGTTACCCACTTAAAATGGAATAATTGTAAAGGAAAGTACATTTTAAATGTACATAAGGGAATTCAATACTTTTACATGAGCTATTCAACCAGGTGTACAAAGTATTTTTAGCTTAAGTGTAACATAAGGTCTATGTTGTTAGTTTTTTTTTTTTTTAAGTTCTGACTGGCTACTGCAAAGGCAATCTTAGGAGATATATGTAAATGTAATAAAATCAATTTCCTTATCAATTAAATATTTTTACCCATTAGCATCTCTTAGTTTTTTAGGGTATTCAGTTAACCAAATAACTTACATTACCACAAAGTAATGTAAATTATTACTGCTTTGTATTGGTTTACTATTCAATCAGTTAAAGCTTACTTAAGAGCTTTTGAATTTACCGTTTCTATGGTTTTTCAGCTAGGCATCTGCACATAAAAACATCCAGAGAGTTTCCCTCTTAAAATACCACTTTTAATTTTCATAAAAGTGTTGCACACTTAGAATGTCTTACATAAGTAAATTCTGATTATAGTTAGAACACTTATAACCTAAAATATCAACATTCTTAATATAGGGAGAAACAAGCACTATTAACTATTAAAAATAATAGAATCCTGTCATAACTCAATATCATAATTATAAGGCTTTGGATATATTCTAGATCAAATAAGAGCCCCTAAAATTTTATCACACATAATAAAGCCTGACATAGTAATTGAATGTTGTTCTTAATCCTCCATACCGGCATTGATAACAGCCCTGGAACATAATCCATGAAGACAGAAATAGACCAAATTCAAACCAAGTAATTTCCAATGATAGTCTAAAGTCATGTCTACAGATGCATTTCCAATAAGTCTGGCCACAAATCATTTTCTTGTGTGAAAAAATTTCTCCTGGATATCAAAGATAAGATAATCA